GAGTCAAACCAATGAGGTATAGTCCTAAAGATAGAGAAGAATTTGAGAACCAAATCCAAGAATTAAGAGTTGAAAAGATTACACAAGCCTCCAAGAGCCCACATATGGTACAAAATCATAATGAATTAAAAAGTGGAAAAGCTAGAATGGTTGTCAATTACAAGCAACTTAATAGCAAGACTAAATTTAATGGTTATTTTTTACCATATAAAGAAACTCTAATAAATAGCATTAGAGGAAAGAAGATATATTCAAAATTTGATTGTAAATCAGGATTTTGGCAAATTAAGCTAACTCTTGAAAGTATTTCATTAACAGCCTTTAGTGCCCCTATAGAACATTATGAATGGCTAGTAATGCCTTTCGCATTGAAAATGCATGTCAAATATTTTAAAGAAGAATGGATAATGTATTTTCGCCCATCAAGAAATTTTGCATAATATATGTAGATGATATATTAATATTCTCTGATAACGAGGATGAACATCTATATCATCTTAAGAAATTTACATATTTATGCAAGAAACATAGAATATTACTTTTTGAAAAGAAAGCAGAAATAGGAAAAAGCAAATTTGAATTCCTTGGATTAACAATAGATTCCACTAGAATAGAATTACAACCCCATATTAGTGAAAAGATTTCATTGTTTTCCAGATAAATTAGAATCTAAAGAATAGATTCAAAGGTTTTTAGGAATATTCAACTATGTAAAGCAGTTTATTCAAAACTTAGCTCAATTAAGACATCATTTGCAAAAGTTGCTTAGGAAAAAAGAGAGTCAACAATAGGAAATTTATCACACCAATCATGTGAAAAACTCAAAGAATATTGCAAGAACCTTCCTAAGTTACAATTACCTAGAGATGACGAAGAATTAACTTTAGAATGTGATGGCTTAGATTTTTACTAGGGAGTAGGTTTGAAAAATTCTCAAGAAAAAGTTTGCAGTTATGCTAGCAATACATTTAAAGACATAGAAACAAGATATCATTCAAATTATAAAGAATTATTGGCCATTAAAAATGGAATAAAAAAGTTTAGTTTCTTATTATTACCAAAACATTTTAGAATTAGAATTGACAATATTCAAGTTAAGGGATTTATTTTTAATAATTACCTTTAACACCAGAATATAAAAGATTAAATAGATGGCAAACATTCTTTGCTGAGTATGATTTTGAAATCAAATATCTTAAAGGAACTAATAATTGTCATGCATATTTTTTTAGTAGAGGAGCTAATGGATGAAATCCTGAAACTCCAAAATAAAGGAAAAGATCTTATTCTTGAAGACCAAAAGAAACTTATTGAAGGCAATAGCTAAATAAGAGAAGGTCAGGAAAAAATGATTGAAGGCCAAGAGATAATGGATGAAGGCCATAACCTCATGGATGAAGGCCAAGAAAAGATTATCAAAGGCCATGAGTTAATAAATGAGGGACAAGATGCCCCTGAAGAAGTTAAAGAGCTACTAGAAAAATTAATGAATTTTGAAGTAATTACTATTGTTGGAATCAACTCTAGAGAATCTAGCTAGATGGCAAAGAAAAGCTCCCAACAGGAGATGAAAGAAAAATTTGAATAAGATGATCCTTCAATAAGGTTACTTGGAGAACGTTCGGGGAAATTTAACTATTATGTCAAATACTCTCACCTAAGAGTATCAGCATTTCAAGCTAAAAAGTTGGCTATTTAAAATGTCGAAAACCATAACTTTCGACTCGATTACTCAGAAAAGAAAGAAAGAAAGTTACAGTATTAGACACCTTGTAAAAAATGACAATGAGTGAAGAATATCTACTGGAATACCATAGAGTTTGTTAAATAGCATATTTAATGAGGCTTACCAAAAATTGCCATCCTATCCATGAAGGGATTTATCCCAAAATTAATTTTATGCAGGTTGTGAACTCGAAAGCAATAAAAGAATTATTTTGTTATGGCTTTATAAACTATATCTATCTCTCAAGAGACAATGAGGAGGTTTCAGAACTTCTAAAAGTTAGCTGTCAAGGAGTAAGAGACTTCAAGATCGGTACCAAAGCTCAAGGAGTAGTATTTGTCAAGATCTACTCTATAGCACCAAAATGAGAGAACTCTCAATATTTTCCTAGTCACCATATAGTTCATATTGGAATTCAATCCAAGAAGATTAAAATAGAAGCAAATGAAGATCAAAATTTTCAAGATTTCGAAGAATCTCTCTATGGGATTGAGTTCATCCAAGAAAGAAGGGCTGTAGGATTTAAGGTTTTGCTCCAAACCTTTGACAAAATGATAGACATGAGAAAAACATGGACTTATGGCTTCTTTAATGAAATTTTGGTGGTATCCATTGGAGCAAGATTAATGACAAGCATTAGCCTATTCAAAATAAAGCAGAAAAGAAGAGAAATCTTTGAGAATCTAGTTGCAGCCGGTAAAGCAATCCATAATAGACTCTACAAGCTGTTAAAGCATTACAATCAATGTGGTTTTTGCTACAAAAAATAATCTACAAAAGAAAAGGTTGAAGCAACGTGTGACGAAGGGACAACCTCCTTAGATAATGAAAAGGATCTCATCATCCTCTGAAGAATCCAATAAAACGTAAACTCTTATGTCACTGAGAAAAAACAGTAATGGCAAGATTCCTTATAATCCTTTTCAGCAAAAGCAAAATGCAAGTCTGGATCACCAAACAATATTGTAAACTTTTAGCGTCAGCAATGACGAAAGAGAAGATTCAAAGGAGTGCCATAAAAAGCCTCCTACAAGCTGTAACATGTATGGGCATTTGAATATCCAAATACCTTACTTGAGTGCCTTTTACCATGTATCTATAAACAACTTTCAAGAGGAAAGGAAACCTTCCCTTTCTCTTGTCAAGAATAAAAACATGTTTTAGAATAATTCTCGTGCTTTTGTCCTTCTTGATTTCCATCATAGAAAACAATGAGAAGAATCCTAGAAGATACTTAGGTAGCAGTGAGGTCACTTGTCCCATTCGAATACCCATGGTAGCTAGAGTGTTGCATTGAGGGTTGAACGAAGGAAGCATCAGCTTGACCAAAGGCTAGACTAAGAGATATTCAAGTATAGTTCTAACTCATTCTTTTTGTCACATGGAAACTAGGTGGGTATAGAAATATTGCTATTATTCTTTGACATTATTATTCTTGAGATTAGAAATAATAGGGAAATAGTACCTAACCTCTTATATTTCAAATAGAAAAGCTCATCTTAAAAACTTATTTGTAATACTTTAAGATGCTTGACTTCATTCAAGAAATAATTCTAGATAAAGTGATTCATGAGCAGCAATATGAATATTATAGAAATAAAATAGTGAATATTCATGATTACTATCTCTTCAAGAATCTTAAAAAGTTAAAGTGAATAGTAGTACATTTAAACAAAGATTTAAAAGACTCAAAAAGTTAAGCAAAAGCTATCTCTACTAGCACTTTAATAGATTTGATTCCACACTTACTAAACATACTACCTACACATTAGTTTGTAGTTTGAGTTAGGTTCTGAAAACCCCATAAAAATTTGGTATTAGAGCCATAAAACAATGTTGTTAAGAATGGAATTAAGAAAGCTAATAAGATTCTATGATCATCAGTTCAATTTTATAATTAAGGTCGTAGCAAAAGAAGGAATGATTCCCTATAGAACTAATGAGTTACTATGGGAAAGACATATCTATAAAGTTTGTAAAGCATTAGGTTTAGAAGAACTAAAAAATTTAGCAATATAAGAATAAAAGCTGTTTTTGTAGCAAATATAAATTCAAGGACTAAAAGATCCAAAGAATATTAAGTTCAAGGACTGGAATGTCAAGTCAACAAAAGCAAAACAGTTAAATCTAACGTCATGGTTGTCAAAGGGCTGATTTGCCACCAGATGCAAGTTGGAGGGTTAGCTTGTTTCTGAATGCACTTGAGCGGCTTATTTAACACCGATCGACGCATTCAGGGGGTGATTTGCATGATTCGCAAAAGAGAAATAATGCACAAACATTCCCACTTCCATTGGTTTCCTCTAATTTTTATGTTTATTTTTAGGATGCTGATCCACACACCCACTTGTTTGACACCGAGTAAGACACAACTAATAAAATAATATATTTATTTCAGTTTAGAAACAAAGGTGGAGAAACACCTAACCCTGTAGCCATTCATCTAGTTACGATCTATTCCTGACTCTAAACAGACTGCAACGAGAACCCTGACTCTTTAGGTGAGAAGTAGTTGAAGAGGCCTGTGCTGAGACTTGGTTGAGATTTGTCAACATGTTTGAATCTCGCGAGGTTAGTGACGGCGGATTGCTGAAGTTTTTAGGTGAGGAGTGTTCGACTCGGATTCAGTGTTATTTTGTGGTATATGACCTTGAATAAGAGAGTTAGTAAGAGGTTGTAATCCTGTGAGGTAAGCGAGGGCAGAGTGTTGGGCTTTCCAGCTGAGGGGTCTATGAAGAAGGCTGTGCTGATTTGGTGGTTTTTTTGTGGCTTTTGATCTTCAATATGAGAGTTGGCAATAGGTTCCAATCCCGCGTGGTAAGCGCTTGGGTTCCCTCGATCAGGGCAATTTCCTTCAGCGGCTGTTGCTTGGATTGCATTCAACAGGACTGAACATGGAAGTTGCTTGGGTTCACTAGGGGGATCGTCTCCTTGACCGTCTGCTTGAAGGATTATATTCCTAAGGTCTTTTTGGACAAGCAAGGATAAACCTTTAAGGGAAGAAATTTCTATTTTCTTATCTAAACTGCGTGTTTATGAGGTTGTGTGTGGGTTCATTGAATAAACGTATCATTTTCCTTATTTTTAATTTATTTTAAAAGAAAAATGTACTCGAGCCCAAGCAGTAGCTGTACTCGGCACTAAGCATTCCCCCAATGAAATTGGGGAAAGTGGATCAATCATATACATATTTCATGAAATAATCGCCTTTTTCTCATTTGTTTCACAAACTCATATACCTTATCGCTATATACATATAGCAAGAAATTATTAGTCAATATTATACTGTTTAATTCTATCTAGCAAAGATGAAAATAGCTGAATAACCCAAAATACTAGAAAATATCATAATCTCCAATCTCTTTCTCTACAACTAACCATCTCAAACAAATTAAGCTGTAAAATTAAAAAAGGAAAAAGAAAAAAGGGAAAATAATCATTGCCTGCTAGCTAGCAGTTTCAACTATAGTCTCCAATGCAGGCTTCCAAGATCTCTGCTTCACATACCTCTCCACAGAATCCACCGAAGTACTACCGGCCATTTTTTCCGACGTCTTGGCATCTGACGGAAACATACACACTGGAAAGATCTTCCCGAGGTTATTAAAGCTGGCATATTTTAGCGCCTTCGTAGCCTTATAGTTGAGTGAGCTCATCTCCTCGTGTGTCAGCACCGAGTAGAGCAGCTCCATGGGAAGAAGAAAGTAGAGTTGCCGCCGCTCCAGCTCTTCCTCTGCCGTCAGTCCATGGATCCTGTACCCCACCTTTAGGGTGGTAGAATCACAGACGAAGTGTCCTGGGTTGTCTAGCATTAGATCTGCCGCCTTAACTGGTTTTGTGTAGATATGAGTACTCCCATTGCAGAATAGGACCTTTATTGCTCCATTTGAGATGATTGAAGCAGCACAGGATGCTGCATTCCCCATTGGAGCTGGTAACAGTTAGGGAGAGACAGAGGAAGGAGATGGGAAGATGTTAGGCAACAGAGACCAAAGGGTGCATATTTATGCATCGGTGATGGTGTGGCTGGGGGAGAATAGAGTTTCAGAGAAATGAGATTATTTTTAAAGTTTTTTTTGATATTTCTGAATATTTTTATAGTTATATTGCCCTATCTCCTGACAGGAAGGTTCGAATATTTTAAATCAATCGTTTACCAAAAAAAAGATGATGTTTTGATTAATCAACTCAAGCAGCCAAAATTAAATATACATACCATTGAGTTTTGGTTCCCTCCTACCCATCAGTTTTTTTTTTTTTTTTTTAAACATTTGAGGTGTTTTGGAACTAATTTTTGAATATTTTTAGACTAAAACTCTATATCAGGACTAATGACTTCATAAGGAAACCTTCTCATTGGCCCACTAACGAATCCAACTTTTTCTCTTACCAACTAAGTTAATTCTCTTTGGATGTAATCATCATCTTAATAACTTTGAGATAGAAATTAAAAAAATAAAAGAATATTCTATATATTAGTTGAGGTTAAGAAACTTAAAAAATTGGGGAAGTAGTTTGTGTTCCAACCAGAACCAGGTTTAGTTTGCAGAAAGGGTGAATGTATCAGGGAGCCTAAACCCTAAAAAGATTATTTTCTTCCAATGAATAGTCTAGTACTTGGCTTTTGGTGCATCTTTAATTTATTTTTGTTTAGGTGAGCCGAGAGCACATGGAGAAAGGCTTGCAGCAATTCAGAAAACGACATCACCTAACCCATGATTGAACATGGTACCTTGCAATTTCCTCCATATTATTCAATTTGGGGGCTCACCTAACTTGATAAAATAGTTTCTCAAATTAAGAATGTCTATCAAAGAATATTTATATAAGAAGTTGATCATGTAATTTCATGTCTTTGCTAACATGCATAAAATGCAAATATTCTCCCAAACTAAATCCTTATTTATTTATTTATAAAACAATCTAAATCCTTACTTGGTTTATGTGTATTAATTAACTACAATCATTTATTTTCATACAAAAAAGTATTTAAATTATATAACTTAAATTTTTAAATGAGGTGAACCTTCTAATTAGGAGTGCTATCACTTCTATTTAATTATTCAAATTTTACAATTTAAATTGAAAAACAAAAATTCATATTCCATATATTTATCCTTGGATGATCATTGGATTTCAAAATTTCCTAACTTGATCACTGATTTACTTTAGGGAAGTCTTGGCAATTAGCTTTCCAACTTTCACCAAATAATTAATTAAGCCCTCGACTTTTTTCTTTTAAAAAACTTAATTGAGCTCCCATTAAGTCCAACACTTAATTTGATCAAACAAACTTCTTTT